GTTGGCGGTTCCCGGGGCTCGATGGTACTGGCTACTGTGGCTCCCCATGGCCCGGCAGAACTTGCAGTAAAACTGCGCCGGTACGTACTCCTTGACACGTCGTCCGACAAAGTCAAACATCATCTCTCCGCGCTGAATGAAGAATTGCGCCAGGTCGGGCGGGAGGTAGACGCGACAGGCTCGCGTCACCTGCGATTCTGCCGCCTCCTGCCCCTCTCCGCCTGTTGCCGCCCCCCCGCGAGGCGCGCGAGCCAGCAACCGGCGCACCCGAAGCGCCTTCAGTCGTTCGGCGTCCTCCGGACGCAGCAGCCGAGCAGAGCCACGCGCCAATGCCGTGGCGACCGCCTCCTCCGAGGCGCATTGATCAATGCCATACACCACCACCGAGGTGGCGGAGGGGGAGCGCATGGGCTCCGGGATCCACTCGCCCTCGACGCCCGGCACGGGGAATGCCCGGCGGGGGATGTACTGCAGGGCGGCGGCGGTCAGCTGGACCTTCCAGCCGTTCGTCGGAGTTCGATCGACGCGCTCCACCACTGAATGGGGGAGGCGCTCGGTCAGCTCGGGGATGCCGCGGAAGTTTTCCGCAAAGCATTCCCCAAAGCGGTGGGGGTTGATAGGCTTCTTGGCCGCGTCGGGGTCGGCGGGCTTGAGGAAGATCGTGCGGCCGGTATCCCACTCGAAACGCGGCGGCCTGGGCGCCGGAATGGCGCCGGCTTGGGCCACCACGTCGCTCCATCGGCGCCCACCGGCTGGGCGCAGAATGACGCCCGGGGGGGTCGATTTTGCGGTCGGGTGGGGGGCGCCGCGCGAGGCCTCGGCAGCGCTCAGTGCGCTGCGCAGCTTCTCCGTCTCCATTCCCATTAAGAAGGCCTCAAGGACGCCCAAGGCGTCATCCGCGCGGTCGGCCAAGGCGAGGCCGCGGTCTCCATCCCGTTGGCCTGGAGGCCGGCGCAGCTCCTCGCTCACGGCCCGCAGCGTCTTGCAGACGCGTCCGAACTGCGGGCCCAAGGCCTTCAGCACGGCGGGGATGGCCTGCGCGGGCCCAATCCCCTCGGCGCGTTTTTTCGTTTTGGGCATGTTGTCCATGCCTTTTGCTCCTCCGCCGCCAGCGCCAGCGCCTTGGCTAGCTCCATGGCGCTTTGGCGCCGCCGTTCCCTCGCGTTCATCCGCCGTTCCCTTCCCCTTTCCCTTGCGTTTCCTGGGGCCTGCCGTGGCCCATTCGTCGTCGTCAGAAAGGCGGTCAGAAGCCGCCTCAGAATGCCGATCTCCGCCCCCATAGTCGCTGCCTCGGGCGGAGCCCAAGGCCGGGGGCGTTGGGGCCCGTGCGCCCGCCGAGGATCGCCCTCGCGTAGCCATCTTCGTCGGTGTTCCCACATAGATCTCAACCGCCTGGCTGCCACCCCTTGCGCCGGCGCGGAGAGGCTGGAAGTCCTCCTCGTCATACTCGGCTGCTAAGGCCTATCGCCGGGCCTCAAGAACAGCCTTCGTTTCTCCTTTGGAAGCGCCAACCGTCTCCCAAACACTTTTGGGTACATGAACCAGGGTGGTTCGGTTGGGAGCGTCGCCTTCGCGCCTCGAGAGCTTGCGCCACAGTCTCTCCACCTTCTCAGACACTGTGCAGTCGCGGTAGACAACTCCGTAGAGTTGGCACATAGACTTCAGCTTCTGGTCCGTCAATTTCTCCAGGAGCCCGCGAGAAACGAGCTCCATGGCTGCTTGCCGCCGTCCCCAGGGAGGGGAGGCGAGGCGGCGCGCAGGAGGAGAATGTGTGTGTGTGTGTGTGTGTGTGTGTGTGTGTGTGTGTGTGTGTGTGTGTGTGTGTGTGTGTGTGTGTGTGTGTGTGTGTGTGTGTGTGTGTGTGTGTGTGTGTGTGTGTGTGTGTGTGTGTGTGTCAATCAATCAATCAATCAATCAAGCTTCCTTAAAATGACGCTTCAACAACAAAGGTCACGGCGCCTTTCGATCAGGAAATTCAATTGTTTGGTAATCAACTCCACGAGCGTCCCTTCCAACTCGACCGCAATAACCTCAGATATCTAATTTGAATCCCTAAGTGAGTCCACAACTCTCTCGTTCGGGTACCATGGAAGTACTCTGACCAAGCCGAGAATCGATAATTCTAGAGGAGGAGAACCTGGGGGGCCCGACTGGGCTGGACTCCAGCGGACCCCCCATACCCGGACGATGCCATTTCCTGTGCCCATGTCCCTACTAAAGCACGCTCAGATAACACCTAGTACACTCATATGATTTCTTTTCTTGGCCAAGTCAGCACCCGTGGAGTATCTCATGATTCAACAGCCCAAAGTGGGCTTAGTGGGACCCCAAAAGAAAAGAAACCCCCACAAGAATGATAACAGGGATAGGAAACATGCACAAAGGGCATGCTCCAAACTGCCATGCCTCCCATTGGACAAGAAAAAGGTCAAAGTAAAGATACGGTTCCTCTCTTGAATTCGATCAGATAATCCCCAAATTGGGTTTCACAGATTCAACTTTTAGAGATCTTCACTTTGCCAATCTCCCGGTTCATATCCACAACACCCACTCTCCCACAAGCTAATCTTTGGTTCTGGTCACAAATAAAGGGGCCTTGCAGTCAACTGTCCAACCTCAGTCCCTGAAGCCTCATGGGTCCCTCTCTCTAGTTGTATCCCCGTCGTCGGGATCTCCCAAGCTTGTGCCCGCCAACAAGTCGATCCTACCTTGTTGGTGGAGTGTGTGTGTGTGTGTGTGTGTGTGTGTGTGTGTGTGTGTGTGTGTGTGTGTGTGTGTGTGTGTGTGTGTGTGTGTGTGTGTGTGTGTGTGTGTGTGTGTGTGTGTGTGTGTGTGTGTGTGTGTGTGTGTGTGTGTGTGTGTGTGTGTCTCGTGATGTTCATTACACAGAATATCGAGGCATTTCAACAGTGTGTGTGTGTGAGACTTAATATCAAATATTTGACATTAAGTCAAATAATAAGTCAATTAATTGATGCTAAGCATAACAAAATCAACATAACGGCTTCCCCAATGCAAAAGTCAGTTGTTCTATGGGAGTAGATCCCATCAAGCACAAACACAGGTGGGTGTACATATACCGGAAATGCCCAATAGGGACAAACACTGATGAGACCCATGGGGCGAAGGTCGAAACCGGTCCACCATTGCCAATGTCCCCTTCGTCACGGGTTCGTATCGTTCCTTCGCCAACCAATTCCTGCTGGCACTGGAAGTGCTCATCACCCCATTTCACGTATCCAACGACAAATGGCTCGTTGCTTGTTGATACCACTTCTTGTTCACACATGGGAGCCCGTGGGTCAACTGGGTATCCCAAATTCACAACGCTTGTGCTCCATATCGCTTCGGTCAGCTGCATCAGTGCTTGAGGGGGGAGCACTTTCTGTGGTTGTGGCAGGATCGTAGATCTTTGGATGGATCATGCACTGGCCCTCAATGTCGCTGATCCCCGTTGCACGATTTCCCTTGGCCCTTCAATCGCTGAAATGAAAGAACGAGTGGGTGCAATATCAAAACTAACATCAACATTAAATCAATCAACCAACATCACGTTACATGCGTGCACACCAGGAATCTGAGGGGCACCGGGACTCGCCAACTGTACTTTTGGGGCCCACACTCCAAGTCAAGTCATTACTTGCCACCCGCTCCACAGTCGGACTCCTCCGCGCCTTGGGTAGCGCGGGGGAAGGGCCTTGTACGTTATTGGCCTGCGGCTTGCAGCCCGCGCAGGCGTACTGCCTTCAGGTGGTGGAGGATTTCCGTGAAACGAGTCGATGCATCCATGCCCTTCCATCGTGCGCCGTGCAAGGGCAGCGAGGAGAGCGTCGACGTCTCGGCGCAGGATGCGGGCAGGATTGATCTTCCTTGGGGGTCACGGCGATCCTCACGGCCCGCGCTTAGGTGGCACACGTAATGGCCACCCACGCGGCACAGTGCGGCTTGAGATGCTTGATTGGCCAGACCTGCCCTTGGTTTTGCTTCACACGTCACCTGTGTGGCAGGCCTGAGCCGGATTTCGTTGACGTGCTCGCCCTCGTGTGCCGGCACAGCCCCCGCCCCCTCCGATGAGCCCGGGGGCCGCCCGGTGATCGACTGGTGTTGGGCCGAGTCTTGGCGGGTGGTGGGTTCGTGTGTGGGCGGGGAGAGTCAGGGCCGCCGGGTGCAGGAGGGCCGACCGAACGAGGAGGAACGAGGTGCGCGGGACGGGGCACCGCCCTCACGTGGTGTGCCACACCTGCGCGGCAGGTTTGGAACACCCCCCGTGTGGTGCGGCCTTTGTCATGCGGCACGAGGGTGTCCCTAAAGGGTGTCGGGGTCATTGAGGGGCGGGAAGAGGCGCGCCTTGTCGTTTGCTTGGAGAGCGGGGGGCCGGATTTGTTCGAGTCGGCTGCTTCGGGAGTCTGTGTGTCAAAGGCGTCAGCGCATTTGGCCTCGGAAGTGTTCGTGGGAAGCCCGGCGGGCGATCGGCTGGCCGATGCGCTCGCTGGTACGGGGAGGCGCGGGCGGGGGCGGACGGCTTTTGGCCGGGGGGTTGGGGGGTGGGGTGGGGGCGGGGACGGCGCGGGATGGGCGCCGGCCCGCGGGGCTCGCCGATCGCTTTGAGCCTGCGGGAGGCGTTGATGCAGACATGCGGTGCAGCGGGGCACGAAGGCACGGATGTTGCTTCCGCGTCAGGTGTCCTGGTGCCCGATGTGGCCATTGGCACCGGGGGATCCTCGATGGAACGCGGTATACTGTTCAGTAATCGCGGAGCGAAGCGGGGGAGATTCGACGGCGCTATCGGACTCTGCCGGCTGAGTCGTATTGGTGGGCTTCCCGCTGCGCGGTGGGGGCAGGCGCGGTGCCGGCGGTGGGATCGAGCCCTGCCGCGAGGGCAGCCGGCGCCTGACCGTGATTGTGTCCGTGCCGCCCACAGAGGATCGGCGGCGCCTCCCATCGCGGTGGCTGGCTTCGGGGTCGATAGATTTGCATTTCATTCCATCGAGGGGGGAAGGATGAGCAGGGTGGACAAGGAGCGGGACGCGCTGTTGCTCCCCGCGCTGGACAAGGCGGCGGGCGGTGTCCAATGGAGCAGCGTGGCGCGGCTCATGAACATGGTCCGGGAGGCCAACAGCATCTCCAAGCACTTGCGCTACTCCCTGAAGGCGCGCCTCACGTGTGGGGAGGAGCCCCGTGTGCTCAACACTCTGACGGTGGGTGCACCAGTAAACCGATTTTCGTCGCCCTGACCGGGGCCACTTGTGGCGAATGGGAAAGGATGGCTGCCAGTGATGCCTGCGGACAATTTTGAACCACGGATGTGTTTGTTGGTGGTGGGCGGCCGCCCTGGACCACGCCTCGCTGTGGGCGCCCCGCCGTCGCCCGAGACCTCCCGCGCCATACGTCCTTAGTCATGAGGCGTTCGCTCGATGCCGCGGTACAGTGGCCCCATGAGCGGAGGGGCGCGCATGGCCGCGCCCCGGCTGGTAAAGGGACGCCCATCTGAAACCGAGCGGGCCGGGCGGGCGGAGCGGGCCGAGCGGGCCGAGCGGGCCGAGCGGAGCTTTGGTGCAATCGACCCTGTTGCGAAGCGCGCCGTCGAATAAAGGCCCCAGCGTTTGGCAATTCCTTCGGAAAACGCGATATGGCTCCTTGGGGCCATCAGCCCTTGTGGAGCAGTCAGCCGCTCCAAGAGGGCCTCACCAAAAGGGCAGGCACGGCACACTGTCGCGGGTGTCTTGCAGGTGTGGCGTCCATGGCTGTCAGAGCGCTTGAATGAAAGTTTCGCCGTTGCCGTTCCTGTTTCAGGTGCTGCATACGATTTCGTTGAATGGCTCTTTGGAAGTGCGGAAGCAGCTGTCCGACACCAAACACCTCAAGCTGCTGGAGAAGGTGTACATGTCTTTCTCAACTGGCCTTGCTGCTGCTGCAGTGTGTCAAATGCTTGTGGACTGGACGTTCATGTTCAGGTCAGTGAGGTTGGGTGTGCGGAGGAAGATTTTGACACTGCTGGAAATTGCAATTAGTTGTGCAATGGGCACACCCTCCTGGGTGAAAATTGGCTCCTCAGCTGTTTTGTTCAGCTTAGGTCTGGATTCTGCTAAGTTGAGGCAGTGTTATGCTGAAATACCCATTTGCACATCCGCTGGCAACCCACCACCCATTTGCAATGGCCCCAATTAGCTGTTGTTAGTGGGGATGCTCAGGGGTGGATCAAGCACATTGTAAGTCTAGAAAGCATATGAGCATCCGCTTTCAAACAGAAGGCATTGGGTCTTTTAGTGCCTCGGGCCCTTTCCTGCCTCGCAGACGTATGGGAACCACCATGACAATACTTTGGATTAAAGGGGAAGGGGGAAGGAGTGGGCTATATTGGCATAACAGGCCAATACATGGTCATTCAGGCTTTGGAGCATCTTGGCAACCAGTGTCTTGCATTAGGCATTTTGTCAGCGGCTAGTAGCCAGCCTTGACTGTAGTCGGGCTGTGCAGTGGTGAGCTATGTTGGTGGGTGTTTGTGTGGCCTTGCTGCTGTAAGAACTTGGTAACCCTATGCATTCGGTTCAAGTGGCTGTGAGGGTCATAAGTACATACATTTTGCTCTTTATGTGGCAGCCAGACATTAGCTTGGGTTAATCGCAAGGTAATGGTGGAATCAAAGATGTTGTTGGATCATGTGGGTGAACAGAGGCTCGACATACGCTGTCATTATTTGTGCCACAGTAATGAGGAATTGGGGCAAAAGAGTGCCCGGTTGATGAAGCATTTGAGGTCAAAGGGTGCCCCTGCATTGCGGGCCACACAGATCGCCACAGAGCGTCGGGAAGAAATTATGCTGGGTGTGCCCATCTTGAGATTTGTGCATGGCATGGACTTTGGGACACCACACTCGCAGCCTGCAGCTGATGTCCACACAGGTGAGTGCAATTGTCACTGCATTGTTTGTCAGTTTGATGGCAGTGGCTGGGTGTGAATATCCTCTTTAGGAAGGCACTGGCTGTCTATTTGGTGTGAAGATATTACCTGCCTGTGCCGCATATCTATAACAATGGCTCAACACTTGAGGGTTGACGCATTTGGTGCAATTGCTTGATTTCTCCCTGACGAATGTTTTGATGTGCGTCAGGTGGTTCCCATGGTTCTCAAACTGGAGGCGGTGATGCTGCACCCACGAAGGAGTCCAAGCTGTCAAAGTTGAAGAGACTGTTTTCCAGGGCTCCCTCCACACCTGCTCCAAAAACACAAGTGACTCCCTCACTGCAGCAGCCACGTAATAATCGCTGGGGAAACAAGCAGAAGGACAAGACACCGGCCTGGGTGCGCACAACATTGTGCTGGTGGTGCAGACATCGATTTTTTGCCTGTTTATCTTGGTCCTGGTCACTTGCATGGCGACCATTGACGTGGCTTGTGTTCTTTGTGGTGTTTGTGGGGAGGAATCACTGTGTTATGGGTGGCGACTACTGGCCATGAGGTTATTGGGTCCATAACTGCAGCATGCCATTCATGGTGGTATGTCCCAAGTGCGCGTTGTGCTTCTTGCTGAATGGGGCCAACTGGTCACCCTCGTCAACAGATATGCAGCATCATTGTTGCTTGAGTGTTTCTGTCAGTAGTGGTCAAAACATCACCAGGACAAGGTGCATGGTTTTGCGTCCAATCCTCTGTCCATGTCTGCAGAGACTCTGCACAAGCGCTGACTATGGATGGGGTCCAGGGCAACGCACTCTTGCATGCCAGTTCATGCCCTGCACGCTGCCAGTCCAGTGCATTGTGAAAACAGACAGCTCCTCAAATCTCAAGAGTGCTATTGTCATGTAGGACACAGAGCCGGTGACGTTCCTTAAGTCAGCTGCATGGCGTATTCTTACTCAACCATCAATGCTTTGTGCAGGTGGATGAAATGCTGAACAGGATGCCAGTTGATGCCAGTGACTTGATGGAAATTGTGGGTAGTATTCGCACCCTGAAGGAGAATGGTGGTTCAGAAGCAGATGTTTCTGGTATGATGGTGGCAACCGAGCCCCTTGCAAAGAAGGTTACCACCTGGCACGACTGGGCTCAGGTACAACTTGCACTCACAACCTGGCCTGCACTTCTGGTTGTGTAAAAGACAGTTCATACAATGGAGTCTCCCTCCCAAGCAAGGATACAGCATGCCCTGTTTTGCTTTGCAGTGCTAAGGGTGCCACCATCGACAATAGTGAATCGCAGGCATGACGCATGAAGCAAGCCAACAAACATGTACTCCCGGGGCGTCCGCGAGAACCAAACTTGTCACTGTTTTCCACCAAGTTGTGGTTGTTTGCTCACTATAGCAGGATATGACATGTCATCTGCCGATAATGAAAAGGAGGAGGGTATGTGTGCCCCTCCCCACCCACATGCACCCACACACACGGACGTATTGCACGTTGCAGATAGTTGCACGCTGATCATCTTGGATAGTCTTCTCTGCTCAACAGCCAGCTAGTCCCAGTGCTGCCCTGCGGTGCTGTAGGAGCTACTACTGGCACAGCTACATCATGGTATGACGATGCATCGAATGAAAATATTGATCTAGGGATCTGGCAGTTCAAATGTGGCTGTCTGTGGTTACAGGAGCTGGTGGCATCGCAAATGGACAGTATTGCAGCCGACATGATGACAGGCACCAGGCAGGCCTCATCAAAACATGCAAACATCACCCTTGAAAGCAGCAAGCTCACAAGGCTGCTGGAGGCGAACGACGAAGTCCAGCGTGTGGTTGTCGCCTGGAAGCGGCTGCAGCAAGAGGTGGCTGGCCAGCCCATCCAAGCAAACCTCGATCCAATTCGCACTGGAGGTGAGCTCTGCACCTTATTGGTTTTGCATCGTGAAGCCAGCATTGAGCAATGGTGCATCAGCATGCCTCTGCTTCTGCCCATTTCGTCCAGTGTCCACTAGGGTGTTCCTAAGCATGCGATTATTACCTGCCCTGCACACAAGCCCATCCACTCTAGTTGTGGTCAGTTTATCTTGGCCTTTGTTGCTGGACACAGTTAAGGACTGCGTACCTGTGGTGGGTGCCAGGTTTCAATTCTGATTGGAAATGCAGTTCAGTGGCGTCATGTTTGCTGGCACACATTGCTTACATTTGTGTGTTTATGTCTTCACTCTCCTGAGTCTGGTGGATTATTGTGCGTTGCAGGTCCTCAGAATTTCGTCAGGCGCTCTTCATCTGTTGCAGCTCCCAACTCTTATCGTGAGAAAGTCCCAGACGGGTCTCCAAATTCGTTCTCTGCAGTCGAAACCATGCATCGCCGACTGGAGGTTGCTAATAACATCACACCCCGCATGCCTGACATACCTACAGGTGGTGAGCTGTGCTACGACCTGCAGTCTGGGGACTGTGGCGATGTGGGTGTCACCCCCAAGCCTGTATGTGCAGACAGGTCACCCCTTGGGGATTGCTACGCAGGGGTGACTCCTTTCAGGGTTGACCTGGACACGCCAACCTTGGCTGAGGCTGAAGAGAGTTACATGCCTGAGGGGGAGAAACGATCGAGGTTCCGTGACGCCAGCCAGTTGGATTCCTCTGTGGCGAGGCCTGGCTCCGAGTGGAGGACGGTGGAAGAGAATGTGAGGGAAATGTCGTCTAAAGCGACCAAGTCCTTCCCCAGATCTTCTGAGGGGCAAATGACGGCACAGGCAAACATAAGGGGCGGCTCTGATGGCTTTCACAGCTTTTCGGAGCCACAATCGCAGTCTCCCACGCTCAGCGGAAGGAGGCCTGCCCAGGAAGGGCATGCCAGGATGTCAAACTACGCCACAGCATCTGCGAGTGTGGACCAGAGGAGGAGTGAGGGTGCACACAAGAATCGTGAGAACAACCCCTTCTGCAGGAGTTCTGCAACAGAATGCTTGCACGATGGATATGATCACTCTGACGGTGTTCAGTCCGAAGTGGTGCAGCCTGTGCAAGGCGTTGTGACTCCAGTGGTGTCCCCATTTCAGCGGTCGTCCATGAGCAACATGAACCCTCCGATGGTGCCCATCGAGGTCAAGCGAAGGAGGTCCCTCCAGCCTGCAGAGAAGCCCACCACCACCCAAAGGAGGACATCAACGGCAGTGGAGCCCTCCCTGGCTGTCCGGGCTGTCATGGACAACTGGAACGACCCAACGAGGCTGTGCGAGCTGTCATCTTCCTATGCTGGAATTAGTCTGGAGGACCCCAAGCCGGTGAATCTTAGTGATGGGAGGGACGATGATGTCATTGCGAGGGTTGGGTTGTCGTCAGTCGCCAGCAGACGCCCTGTCCCTGACGCACGTGGCAGGGAGCAGGAATCTGTTGCTAGGGCCAGTCGTAAGGCTGAGGCTAGGGTGCACCCTAGGTCCACAAGGGCGTCGAGAAGTGCAGGCAGGCATGAGCAGCACACCTCCTTGGCGAGCAAGTACAGAAGGCATCCTTTTGGCAACCTTGCAGCAGAAAGCCAGGGCAGGTAAATACCGCTGCGCCCAACAAAAGGCTTGCAAGTGTGCGTGCATTGGCAGTCCTTCGGGGGGATGTTGGCAGCCCGTATTTTGCACGCGTGTCCAGTTCGGAATTTTTTGCATTCATTCCGACAAGAATCCATCAGCTTGCGTAATGACAGCCCGTTGTGTTTCCATGCGTTCTGACCATGTGCGACTGCTTAAGTTTCGAAATCTCCAAAACCAACAACAATACCTTATTCTAGAAACTGGCTGTAACAGCCCCAAACCTAGCTGCAAGTAGTGAAGACAGGGGGAATTTCGAGAAACGATCGCGGGCTGTGTGCATGCATTGGGAATGGGCCTGAAAATACTCATTGGGACTGCCAGGACAAATCCTCAGCCGTGGTTTTTGGTTGCTGACATGGACCAGCTGTGTGTTTACAGCCCGGATGTCAAGGACGAAGCACAAGCCAGGACTCCTGCTCCCAGGGCGCCGGGTCGCCCTCAGCACCCGCCGAAGGAACAGTCCATGGCGTCAAGGAGAAAGCAGGGCACCAGGACGGATGACAGGAAGAGGCACACCCAGCAGTCGCACAGGGCGCACAAGGGCACGCCCAGAGCAAAGGCACGCAGCGGCCGGCATTCCGTCCCGCTAAGCCCAGACCGCAAAGTTCTGAGCGTGCTAGAAAATAAGATGCTGCTTCGGAGCGGTGCTGCACCGCCCAAGATCGTCAGGGCGTCGCTGGATGCCCTGCGGGAGCAGCGCGGCCACAGGATTCCTGCTTTGCGGGTCCGCTTCACCCAGGAGCACTTGCGGGACGTGCTGCATAAGATGTCGGAGAAGCCTGGGCGGAAGCTTGCATTGTCTGAAAGGGGCCCCCGGTGAGAGCGCCAGTGGATGTGCGCTCTCCGCTGTGTGTTTTTGACGAGGTTAGGCCGTTTTGCCATGCGGGACATGGCTCTAGAGGACCCGTTTTTGGTATGCCAACTCGGAACAAGTGGGCCCCAAGCCAACAGGTGGATAAATGTTGGCAGTGGACATGGATCTTGTCAGCATCATATCCTGGCCCAGGGATATTTCACTCGCCTTGATAAACAGTGGTGTCAGGGTCTTCACCCGGCGAGCATAACGTTCGAAAATGAAGATCACGAATTTCTGAGGGACTGTATTTTCCGACATTTTTTTGCTTTCGTTGCGCCTTGCTTGGGGCCGGTGTTGATTAGTTGTGTTTGGTTGGGACGGTGCGGGATGCGTTTGTCCATGGCCTGTGGTCGTCCAGACAGAGCGAGACACTATGTGCCAGGAGGAGACGTGAGAGGGGGGGGGGGGGCGCCATTATTTTGGAACGCGTTGTGAATTGTAATTTCGTCAGCATTCTTGCGCACTGGGTCCGTGCACAAAACGAAGTCGCAGGAATTGGCAGGGGCGCTCGTAGACACGACCAGAATTGCGAACAAGAGGGCTCGGTAGGCCCTGGGGGAAGCTGTGCCCATCCCTTCTGCTTGATGGTGCAAATGGTGGCGTGAATGACCTGTGGGCACCCTTCTCCAGGGTTGTTTACATGTGGTGTTGTTGACATGCATGTGTGATGGCAGCATTTGAATTTTCTCTTCCCCACGTCTTTATTACCTGCCAGCCATGTTGCATTCGCACTCTATGTGATGCACATGTCCGATCCATGCTGACTGGCAGGGTGACACCACAACATAGGCCAGTCAGCATTTGCCGGAGGCAGATGCACAGCCTGTTTTGAGGATGAAAGTGAGCTCTTACTCTGCCAAATTAATGAGATTTACGGACTGCAGTCCTACAAAGCATGATTTCTGCCCATCCGTCTCCTTCCCCCACCCCCACCCTCCCAACCCCACCCCTGTGTCCCCACACAACAATACCGGTTCTACGACAATTCCTGATGTGGCAACAGGCTATTTTCTCCTAGATCGGAGCTGATAGCCTAGAAGTCGCTAATTCATGCTTGCAGATACCTGAGAGTCTTCTCTCATTGTGGCTGCTAAAATGGTTGTGATCGTGTGGTGTGATGGTGCACGATTCCAGTCATGCCTAATGCAAATTGTGTAGACATATGTCTGCCTTACCGGTCTCCTGAGCCCACCCTATCATGCACTTCCCATGACGAAGCACTTACAAACCACAAACCAATGTACTGTAAACCCGAGGTCCCCACACTTCGTTGTGCCCATTCGCTTCGCCAATACTTAACGCCACTCAGCGAGTGACCCCATGAGCCAGCTCCCTAATCCTGTACTTCACTCCCTCACTGCCTCTCCATCCCACAACAAAACCGAACACCGCTCTCGAGGGCGGGAGGGCTGGATGCTAAACAAGATAAGGAGGGGAACCCAGGGGGGAGGCTAAATAGCTGCCCCCGCTCAGCCCCGCCAAAGCCCGCCAAACCCCAGGACGCCAAGGTTGGCGGCACCTCGTATTCTCGTACTTTGACCGACCCACAGTACTAGGTGGCCAGAAAGCCCAAGGGACGGGGGCTGAGTAAACCCCATGGGGTCTACTCAGCCCCCGTCCCTTGGGCTTTCTGGCCACCCTAGTATTGAAAAACCCTAGTATCGGAAAAGGCATTGAACCTGGCCAGGTTCAAAAGCTGCGCCGTTTGATTCCCCAGCGCAGCCCACCTGTCGTCTCTCTTGGCATTAACAAGATAGTATTTTCATGTATACGCCTGTCCTTGGCTCGCCCAGGTCCAAAGATCTGGGAGTCTCCAGGGATGCCGCGTGGAGGCGGACAGTGCGATTTTATCCCCAAAAAAATTATATGGGTCGGTCCGAGGACACACACACCCAATTTCAGCACTTACAGCGCGGATTCCATGTGGAATTTCCGGCATGGCTGCTAATTATACATAGCTATATGTGTCTCCTCGATGATGCGCAGCATGCATGTGGGCTGCTGAAGATCGACGTATATTGCAGCACCTGTGGTAGGCATTGGACACAGTTTTCTCAGTCAAGCCACTGGCATTTAGCTCGGCGGTATTTTCAGAGCAAGTTCGCAATCATGACCAGCCATTTAAAGTATGATTAAGCTATACAAACACTGCTCTCAATGAGTGACGCAAAGACCTCCAACACTTACAATACAGCCAGACACCGTGGCAGGTAGCACCCGCTGGCAGGTGGTCTCTTGAAGTCATCCTGCCCATTCCTCGCCTCGTCCAGGACAAAGATGAGACTGCTGCTCCTTTGTGTAATGAAGTTGCCTGCTTCAAAGGCACCATTTGGCCTAGAATTGTCAGTTCTCTATGAATTGGGTGAGCATATACTGCTCTCATTAAGTAGTGCAAAGAAGTGAAGCACTGACAATACAGCGACGCACTGAGGCAAACACCTCTCGCTGGTTTGTAGTCTTCCGAAGTATTTCCGCCAGTTGGCAGGAAGAGGGGTTGTAACCCCTCGCCTCATTCAAGACTACAATAAGAGCGTTGCTTCTTTCCTTTGTATTCTCTGTTTCACAGGCGTCATTTTGGCCCTGGGAATGTGTCGGCTCATTCAATGTATGACTATAGTGAGCAAAATGCTTAGCAGCATTTGACAGCACTCTCAATGAGAGTTGAGCAGCACAAAGACTTCTAGCACTGCAGCTACAGCCACGCACCGTAGCGAATATCTCCCGCCAGTATGTCGTCTCTTGAAGTCTTCCACCCTCTTCTTCCCCTCGTGCCATACACTGAGCGGACTGCTACCACTTTCGTTTGGTCCCGGCGCTCTGCTCCCTACCCACCCATTGCCAGGAGCGAACGATGGGGGCGCGGCGGGCATTCATAGTACCCAGGGACAGCGCGCAAAGGCCTTTCATTAGGGCGCTGGTGGCTGCCGCAGGCCTTGTGGCAAACCTACCGCCTACCAAAGGCCGTGATCAGTTAAAAGCACAACAGCCCATCCGTGGCGTGGTTTGCGCCATGCAACGGGCGACGCCCTTGCTGGGCGTCAAACAACCTAGCCCTATCTATATCGACGCGTTCGCGACAAAAAGCAGGGGGGTCTCCTGGTACCGTGCCTCTCCGTAACGAGTGTGCGACTCGTCGTAGCAACGTGTGTGCGGCCGGGCCTCCCATCGTCCGATCCCGGCAATGCTAATCTACTCGGCCTAGATTACCTGCCATCATGGACTGTCCATCTTAGACAATCCCGAACGTGGTGGTCGCCGTCTGCCCATATCAGCGCCCTCAATCGGGCAACCTGTGTCCTGCAGCAGATGTCTCTGAAAACGAGATGGCGAGTTTGCTTCTCCAGCTCCCACCGCAGCCCCGCTTCTCGCCCATCCGCCCATAACTAGCGCAGAATTGCACGCACAACATTCGCGCCCTTCGCCACATTCTCTGCTGTTCGGCGCGATTGACTTTCCAGGGAATTCTTTAGTCCTGCACACTTGGGGGGCGTTACCGACCCTCGGGGGCAATTAACTGACCCCCGACCTGATGCTCGCTTCAGCAGTCGGGCTGTTCCCATCTGCAGAAAAGCGTAGCGCAGACGCGCATCAGTCCCAGAGCAGTCCCAAGCGTCCGAGACGCAAAGTTAAAGTCAAGGTCGCCGCAGATAAGAACCTTTGTTGCGAAGCGATACCCTTCGCGAAAGCTTGCTCCCATTTCCTTGTGAATCCACCAGCTGTGGGCTTTCCGTTCGGGTGGCTCTGGTCGACCACCTCGCCTGTGTTGGTACAGCGCTGCCTCGACCCTGTATGCCGCGAGAAGTGCTCGCGCCTCAAACGGTCAATGGTATTTCGGCCTTCGACAAGAACCAAGTCATTTGACCACTATGGTTGAGAGTTGAATGATTCGGCGGAATCATCCGTGATTTTTAACCATGGCGATAGAAACCACGGGTGATCCTCATTGGGCTCCTTACGGTGCTGTTTCTTGCTGAGACAATTTTTTCAGGGTGGTTTCCCATAGGGAAATGAATAGAATATGGATATGTACTGGGAAATCAATGGTTTTGTGCACAGAAACAGTGACATGGGCTGACAGTATGGCAACCAGGGTACCCACTCACCGGTTTGTCTCGAAGAGGGTTGATGCTGCGTTGATGCGGCAAACTGCGATTTTGCAGCTGCTCATACGTCAAGTATGTAAAATGCTCCAATGGAATGTATTGGGTCTACATAAAACATATGCTAACCTCAATATGCATACGTGTATGCCCTTTCGTGCAAAGTCTCGCATGGACAGATCTGGCCGGTGTTCCTGCGCTTTTCTATACAAACACACAACATTTGACCGCTCTCCATGTGGATGATTGTAAGTGTCTGAATGAAGTCGAAAGTCAATACTGGTCAGTCATTGTCATTGTCATGACAACTGCCACTCGCCAGAAACAGAAGTAGTGTCTGATACATTCTCATGCCGGAAAAGAATACTTTGGTCACATTTTCTGTTCTGTGCACCACCCGATATGCCCAATCGACAGAACTGCCGAAATTCCATTCAGCTGGCAGCAACCGACGCAGGTGGACTAGGCGGCACGAATGTGTGTTGGTTGCCATGGAACAATACCACTGTGGAAATGTGGCAGCGACTGCGACAGTCCAAACGTCCCCACCAGGATCCCTAGCTTGTGGAGATTTCTGCCAGTTCCATCTTGGACAGTAGTCCCGGCTGTGCTCTGCAATTACGCAGCCTCAACGGCCCCAGCCCGCTCTCTTTCTTCACGGCGCCCTGGCACTCCTCTCCCATTGCCTGGGCGACTGACGGACAGGCAAATCTGAGGAAAACATAAAGTGGCGTCCACACCCATTGCGATTGAGCCCCATCCATGGAGAATCGCCGAACTTGGGGTGTTGGCACGTACTGCGTGAACGCCAATTCCAAAAGGCAACAGACACCTTGACCTGTGCAAGAGCATCAGCCTGGTAGA